GAATCAAAGAACATTGCTACTCTCAAGTTGGATGAACTGATTGGAAATCTCACTACCTATGAACTGAGAAGGAAAACCATGAAAATGGATGCACCCAAGAAGGAAAGGAGTCTGGCTCTCAGAATAGCTGAAGGTGCAGATCTGGAGGATGATGAAATGACCATGATCACAAGGAATTTCAAAAAGTACCTAATGAGAGGAAAGGGTTCTTCAAGAGGTACAACCTGCAACCAACCAAGGGCTCTTGAGAAACAAACCAACGAGGGTTGCTACAAATGTGGCAAGACTGATCACATAATCAAGAACTGTCATCAGAGGGAAACTGAATGGAAGAAGGAAAGGGCTGAACGAAGGAACAGGAAGAAGGAATAGGTTCAAACCAAAAGGTACAAAGGACCAACAAAGGCTATGGTTGGGGAGAAACATCAGATGAGGATTCAGAAGATGAAGTTGGAGATGAACAGGCACTTATGGCCATCAGAGAATCAGATGATGAACAAGAGGTAAGTGTGATTCATCTCAAAGACAAGATTAAATTTCTGTCTAAAGCAAGGTTATCTGAACTATTGCTAGACTTCATCGATGAGTCTGATATAATTAACAATGAAAAGGAACAGCTGTCTAGGGAGTGTGTGATCTTAAAAGCCAAGTGCAAAAATCTAGAATATAGGGCGAATGAGAGTGACAGTAAAAATGCTAAGTTGAAGAACCAGGTTCTTGAACTCGACACTAGTGCCTTTGAACTTAGGTCTAAAAATTTAAAACTGAAATTAGGAACAGGAAAGAAGAAAGCTAATCACACACATCTTACCTTAGAAGAAAACCTAGGAAAAATGACGGATGAGTTGTACAAGAAAGATGAGCAGATAAGAATCTTAAAAGAAGATCTAGGGAAGGTAAAACATGAACTTGACAGAACTTGCAAATGGAATAAGGCTTCTGATACACTATCCTGGCTACAAGAACATCACAGTAGCAACAAGAGATGACTTGGCTATGGGACCCAAGCACCTAAGTAGGACCCCAAAAGTAAGTACATCACTCTTCCTAAAAACAAAATTTGCACACACTGTGGCAAGACTGGTCATTACAAAAATAAATGTAATACAAAAGAAAAGGCCAGTCAAAAGAACAAAACCTTTGTTCAAGAGAAAAATAAGCTGCCTGGGTGGGCCAAAAGGAATTTAATTTACCCCTTTGCCTATAGAAAGGGACCCAAACTAGTTTGGGTTCCTAAGACTAACCCCTGATTTCTTTTTGCAAGTTCAAGTGAAGCGAAACAGCCAAATATGGTACATAGATAGTGGCTGCTCAAAACATATGATTGGAAGTAAGAAATAGTTCCTTTCACTTGAGGACTTAAAAGGAGGTAATGTCTCCTTTGGAAATGGGAATAAAGGTGAGATTATTGGGGTTGGAAAGGTAGGTAAGACAGACTCACATTCCATTGAGAATGTCTACTTGATAGATAGCTTGAAATATAGCCTAATCAGTGTATCACAACTGTGTGATAGAGGTAACCTTGTAGCATTTACCTCTACCGAATGCTTTGCGATTAATCTTACCACTGACAAGATTGTTTTGTAGGGAAAAAGAGTTAACAATATTTACATTGTAGATTTTTTCACTCTTTCAGAAAATAAACTCACTTGCCTGAGTGTATTGGACAATGATCCCCTCCTGTGGCACAAAAGACTTGGTCATGCAAGTGTAAATCAACTCAACAAATTAGTCTCCAAGGACCTGGTGATAGGGTTACCTAACATCAAGTTCAAGGAAGACAGAGTTTGTGAGGCCTGTACAAGGGGGAAGCGGGTAAGATCATCCTTTAAAAGCAAGAAAATGGTAAGCACAACCAGGACAATGGAACTGGTTCATATGGATCTCTGTGGTCCAATGAGAACTTTGAGCAGAGGTGGTAAGAAATATGTGATGGTACTTGTTGATGATTACTCTAGGTTTACCTGGGTACTGTTCTTAACATCTAAGGATGAAGCATTTGACATGTTTACTGTCTTTGTTAGAAAAACTCAGAAAAAACTAGGTAATCAACTTGCACCAATCAGGTGTGATCATGGAACTGAATTTAAAAATGCTAAGTTTGCTGAATTTTGTGATGAGCATGGTATAGATCATAATTTTTCTGCCCCTGGGACTCCTCAACAAAATGGAGTAGTTAAAAGAAAGAATAGGACTCTTGAAGATATGGCTAGGACTATTCTTCTTTCTAGTAAACTTCCCCATAGCTTCTGGGCAGAGGCTATAAATACTGCATGTTATATCATTAATAGATGCATGTCTAGACCTCTTGTAGAGAAGACTCCCTATGAGTTACTTAAAGGGAGAAAACCAAATATATCCCATCTTAGGGCATTTGGATACAAGTGCTTTGTGCACAATAATGGAAAGGACTCCCTAGGTAAGTTTTATCCCAAAAATGACGAGGGAGTATTCTTGGGATATTCTTCACATAGCAAAGCTTATAAAGTGTTCAATAAAAGAACTTTATGTGTAGAAGAAACTATACATGTAGTTTTTGATTAAACTAACGTTCTTTCTGAGAGACAAGAACATGGAGATGAAGCTATTGGGCTGGTAAAAGATTTAAGTGAAGTCTCAGTTCAAGCTAAAGTTGCACCTAAAGAAGGAACAGGTGATGGAATGGGTTCTTCCATCCAGGGCAACCTAGTAGGGGGAACTGAACAAAGAGGAACTGAAACCAATCCCCTAAAGGAACCTGTTCATGACCCTATTCCTCGGCAACAGAACATGGGAGAAACATCATGCAGAAATCAGTTGGTTGTGAAACCTCATAAGTATCAAAGTTCTCATCCTATTGAGAACATAATAACTAATCCAACCTCTGAAGTTAAAACTAGATCATAATTAAAGAATCTGTGCTTTTGATGTTTTCCTATCTCTTATTGAACCTAAAAATGTTATTGAGGCTTTGTAAGATGTAGATTGGGTAAATGCAATGCAAGATGAACTCATTCAGTTTGAGAGAAGTCAAGTTTGGCATCTAGTTCCAAGACCCAAGGACATATCAGTAATTGGCACTAAATGGGTCTTCAGAAACAAGCTTGATAAAGATAGAACAGTTACAAGAAACAAGGCAAGACTGGCAGTCCAAGGTTATAGCCAAGAGGAGGGTATAGATTAAGATGAGACCTTTGCTCCAGTTGCGTAAGACTCCTTATAGCTTTTGCAGCACACATGGAATTCACTCTTCATCAGATGGATGTCAAAAGTACCTTCCTAAATGGATACCTAAAAGAAGAAGTGTTTGTTAAACAACCTCCAGGGTTTGAGAACAAGGAGTGTCTGGAACATGTGTACAAATTAGACAAGGCTCTCTATGGACTCAAGCAGGCTCCTAGAGCATGGTATGAACGACTGTCCAAATTCTTGCTTGAAAATGGCTACAAAAGAGGTAAAATTGACAGTACTCTATTCCTGAGGGAAAAAGGTAAGGATCTTCTTGTGGTACAAATATATGTTGATGACATAATTTTTGGGGCAACCACTGACAAACTAATTAAGGATTTTGCCAAATTAATGGGGAGTGAGTTTGAAATGAGTATGATGGGTGAGCTTAACTTTTTCTTAGGCTTACAAATCAAACAAAACCCAAATGGAACCATGATCCATCAGCAGAAATATGCATTGATCAAGAAGTTTAAAATGGATGAATCAAAGGAAATAGACACTCCCATTGCAATAGCTACTAAATTAGACATAGATGAACCTGGTTCATCTGTTGATCAGACGTTGCATATGGGTATGATTGGTTCACTTTTGTATCTTACTGCCAGCAGACCTGACATAGTTTTTAGTGTAGGGCTTTGTGTTTGTTTTTAGGAAAATCCAAAGGAATCTCATTTGACTGCTATCAAGAGGATATTGAGATATTTGAAAGGCACTACTAATATGTGTCTTTGGTACCCTATGTTGATGCTGATTATGCAGGTTGTGGATAGGAAGAGCACCTCAGGTATGGCTCATTTTCTTGGTTCATGTATTGTATCATAGGCCACTAAAAAGCAAAATTTAGTGGCCTTATCCACTGCTGAGCCTGAATATGTTGTTGATGCCTCTTGTTGTGCTCAATTGATGTAGATCAAACAGAAGCTGATAGATTTTGCCATTGAAGTTGGTTGCATTCCTATCTTCTAAGATAACACTAGTGTTATAAGTATGACAAAGAACCATGTTCATCATAAGAGGGATAAGCACATAGAATTTTGTGCTACTGATAAACAAATTGCTGACATCTTTACTAAAGCACTGAGTAGAAAAAACTTTGAAAGAAACAGGTTGGAATTAGGGATGATTAATATCACCTGATAGGACCAGCTCAGAATGCACAATGAAAAAAAAATCTGAAACAAAAAAATGAAAAAAATTCTTTTTGGCAAGGAAATCTGAACTTGTATAAATATCTAGATTAATTTTTACTCAGCTTCATACTGTAATTAGTATGCTCCTGTGACATGTGTTAATAAGACTCACTAATCTCTTACAAAATTTTCTCTATTGTGGTAAATTGAGGCATGGTCAAGAGAATTCTAAATGAAGAACCTGGTTCATCAGTATTGGTTCATCTGAATGCTAAGGTATATTTTCTATACTCTACATAATTAGAAATATAAATATTTAAATCATGAGCAGAAGTCCTACAATTGTTCAACTCCTTAGAAAATTCTATCCGTTTGATTTTGAACCAGTTCTGTCCGCATTAGAACTCTAAACCACAAAAATTGCCTAAAATCTAGGGAAGCTTAACCGTTCATTCAAACCTGAAATTTTAGGTTGATTAGACCTCTAATTGACCACTGCTAAAAACTGTCGTTATCCATTAAATGAGTATTTCTCTTTAAATACGTATTATTACCTCCTGCCATCTTCATAATTCTAAACCGTCAAAAACCCTTCTTGACTCTCAATTGATTTCTTCTTCAAAGTTCTAACTCACCAATTCTCTCAAGAAATCAGCTATCATGACAAACCCACAAGACAATCCTGGAACTCCTCCACAACCCACTCCCTCTGATTCATCTACCCCTCCTCCACCTAGCACGTCTCCCAAACCCAGGCTAAGAAGAGTAAAAATGTTTGCTCACAAAATGGTGGCATCTGGTGCTCTCTCAAAGAAATTGAATGAGCAATTAAAGGCAAGTCAGGCTCAAGACTGTAATTGTAACTCTGATTCTGAGTCGTACAAATCTGCTAGTGGGGGGGAAGGACCTGGGTCTTCTAACTCTGAGAAGGCTCAAGAATCCTCTTCTAAGGTAAGTTCTTCTTTGACTAAGAATTTAGAAAATAGGTTTGTTTTGGTTGGGCCTATTAGGAATGTGGAATTACCTGAGTTAAGATATAGTGGTGGTAAAAAGAAATCTGAAAAGAAAAAGAGAGAGGGTGAATGTGGTAACGAGAGGGGTAAAGGGAAAAAGAGTGGTTGATCATTCACCCACTGCTGATTTGTCTATACCTGCTATTTGTGGGGTTAAACAAGAAAATGTTGAATAGAGTGGAAAGAAGTCAGGGGAAGTGGTTCTAGTAAAGCTGCTGAAGGGTTAGTTAATCTAAGCGCACAGGGGGATGAACCTGGTTCATCAACTGAAGAGACCCTAGCAGACCTGTTGAAAAAGGTAGGGGCAAGTTACGATCCAAAAAAGGAGAACTCCCACACCATAAGCCCTAGTGCTCCTAAACCCTCCAAGAAAAGAAAGGCTTCATCCCCAACAACTACTGAAACTTCCTTGCTAAAGGGAAGAGCCACAAGAAGCAGGGTAAAACAGAGTAAGAGTGATCTACAAATGGCTCTGGCTGCGAGTAAGAAAAGAAGGGTGGCTAAAGGAAAGGGTAAGGTTGCAGAGTCCTCAGAAGCGGTTGATGTTGATGAGATGGAACAGGTCAATCTGGAGAAAGTTACAACAGTGGAGGTTTAGACCCCAAGACCTAAAAGCCCAAGACTTCTTCCAAGAAGTCTTCATTTGTGTCTGAGGCTGCTGAACATTCATTGGCCATGAGGACAAGGTCTACAGTGAAAAGTAAACAAGTTAGAGTTTCTGAAGATGAAGAATGGATTGGTGAAGATGAAAATGAGACTGATTAAGACAAGCTTGCCATGTTTGGCAAAAGAAAACTTTTGAAGGGAAGATTGCTGAAAGATTTAGTGGAATCAGGGATGGTTCGTTTGGTTGACACACTGGATATTCAGGGTTGGAAAGACATGGTCCTTCAGATGGATGGGAGATTGGCCAGAAATAAAATCATTGAATTCATGGCAAATGCTGAAGTCAAAGATGGCAGAGTTACAAGCAAAGTCAAAGGAGTTCAAGTGACATTTGATGCAGAGAAACTGGGAGAGATTCTAGACATCCCTGCTGAGGGATATGATGATTACACTAGACATAGATGGCCAAGTCTGGATTCCCTTCCATCTGCCGTTACAATCACTAGGAAATTTTGTGATGAATAGGTGAATGAGGACAAATTTGTGCACAAGAGTGAAATGAATCCACAACACAAAGTCATTTTTGAGTTTGTCAACAAGTGCCTACTGCCCAGGCAGGAGAAAAGGCATATTGCAAATTATATGGACTTAGTTCTGATGGAATGCCTTGAAAGTGGAAGGAAAATCAATTGGCATGCATTCATCATCAAGCTACCTGATAAGGTTATCAATGTCACCAAGGTTACGCTACCCCCTATGGCTTTATTCTGACTGTGCCTCTTAAGAAATGGGAAATGGCTACAAGAAAGGATTACTTTGGTATTAATACTCTGCTTGCTTGTGACTACTTAGTCGATGCCATCCCAAATGAACCTAGTTCATCCAAGAAGACTCCTATCAACAGTAAAGTCAGGGCTCTTGTTCAGGAAAGTGAAGCCAAGGATGCTGAGATAGCTAGGCTAAAGGCTCGTATGGAAGAGATGGAATTTGAGAGCGATGCTCTCAGAACTGAGCTTACCAAGGAAAAGAAGAAGAATGATAGAATTCTTCACAATATGCTGAATCTTCTTCAAGCCCAAAACCAACCCTCTAGCTCTCCTAAGCCTTATGAATTCTAGCCTTTATCTCCTGAACCTGTCTAGTACCTTCAGTGACCCGGATTAGGGATTTTTCTTTCTTTTTACTCATGTTTTAAATGTTTTTACTTTCTGGTTGTGGATTATGGTAGAAACATATCTTCTATCAATGATATCTACTATTTTTGCTCTTGTTCAATATTAATCTTTCCTTGATAGTTTAAATATGTTTGCTTGATTACTGATGATTAATCGATGATTGCACTTGCAGTTGCCCCAGTGGCCATGAATACTTATTAAAATCTGGGACTCACATTGTATGCAACTTTATGATGATGCCAAAAACGGAAGAGAGAGAGAGAGAGAGATTGTGCTTTACATATTCTGAATAAGTGATATTTATAACCTAATTAACCTGGTCCTTTGATGATAAGTGAATTTTCTAAACTTTGTATTAATGGTTAAGCTGAGTTCTTACAGGATCCAAGTAAGTAAAAAGCATAGAGTTTGTCATCATCAAAAAGGGAGAATTTGTTGGCCCAAGTACAGGTGAAGTTTTGAAGACTGACAAAAGAACTCAAACATGGACCAGGTCCATCTTATGAAGCACAGTCATGATCAACCCAAACATGTGAGATGCACGTGAAGGAGATAAATCTAACTTATCAGAAGTAATATCTCCCGATCTGATCAAAAAGGTTGCATATTGGATAAGGAGAGAAAGACTCCTTACATGAAGAGAACACATTTTAGGAAGAAAATAGTGTTAGAGTATGAGATCAACTAGAACTCTTCAATGATAGAAGAGTAGTATCTGAATCCCAGTCAATCTCTAATTACTAACCCATTAAATATCAGTGTTGTTCTCTTTTATAGGCAATGCATATAAGCAGAAGTTAAACTTAAATTGAGAGCGAAAGAGCAAGGCGATTTTGCAAGTAATTTATGTGTGATTCAAGCGTGCAATCCTGAAGATACTTGAATAATATAGAAGAACCAGTTCCAAGTGTCTATCTTTTATTCTAGTTCAATCGTAGTAGGTAATTTTACATTGTACCTTTCAGCTTTTATAGAAGCAATTATATTAGGTACCTAGAGTGTTCAAGTTAGAGTTAACTTGAAGTTGTCGCAATAGTTGAGATTGTGTGCCACAACGGGATTAGAGTTAATCCTAGGTTTACAAAAGAGTTTTGTAAATGTAGTTTTTGGCTCAGTGATTTTAGTGGAAGTTTGGGAAAATCCTACTGAGTAGTAGGTCATGGTTTTTTCACCGTTTGAGCCAGGTGTTTTACACGTAAAAATCTCTATGTTCTTTATTTTCTTTACTTATTATTCCGCAAACAGTAGTAGTTGGAACACATAGAAAAACCAGGTCCTTCTACAGTTCAGCTAAGCAGAAATTGGGTACCACACAAATCACCCCCCTTCCCTCTTATGTGGTATTGAAGTATAAAATATCATATGACTTGTACGTGTGGTCGGAATTGGATTTTGTGAAGTTCATAGTTGATTATGATGGAAGATTCTTATTTTGGAAGCTTTAAGTTGGAAGAATCGACTATGGTTTGAATTTTGAGTAAACGAACTTAAAATTGAGATTTGAAACTTCCAATAGGTTCGTATAATTATTTTGGACTTGGGAATATGTTCAGATCGGGTTTTGGATGAACCGGGAGCATTTTGGAGCTTATTGTGGAAAGCTGGCATTTTGGTTGAATTTCATAAGTTTGGGTTGAAGTGGATTTTAAGGTTATCGCTGTCCGTTTGGGATTCTGAACCTGGGAATAGCTCTGTATGGTGATTTTGTTCTTAGGAACATGTCCGGACATTGATTTGGAGGTCCGTAGGTCGTTTCAGCATTAATTAGCGAAGTTAGGAAGTTGGGAGATTTTGGAAAGGTTGACTGGGAGTGGAATTTTTTATATCGGGGCCGGATCTTGATTCCGGAAGTTGGAATAGGTCTGTACTGTCATTTAGGACTTGGGTGCAAAATTTGAGGTCAATCGGACATAATTTAATAGGTTTCGACATCGGATGTGGAAGTTAGAAGTCCAATAGTTCATTAGGCTTGAATAGATGAAAAATTTGCAGTTTTGATGCTGTTTGGAGTGATTTGAGGCATTGACTAAGTTCGTAATGTGTTTTGGGACATGTTGGTATATTTGGTTGGGGTTCCGAGGGCCTCGGTGGATTCCGGATGATCAACGAAACGAGTTTGGACTTAGAAGAAGTGCTGAAGCAGTTATCTTCTGGTGTAACTGCACCTGCGAGGTTTTCGCCACAGGTGTGGAGCCGCAGAAACAACCAAGAGGGACGCAGATGCGAATTTTTTTTGGGTAGTGATAAGACCACAGATGTGATCATCTCGCCACAGAGATGGGACCGCACCTGCAGAGTGGGCAGCGCAGAAGCGTGGGCGCAGAAACGTGGGCGCAGATGCGCATGAGGACCGCAGAAGCGGCCAGCAACCTTGGCTTGGTTTTCTTGCAGGTGCGAGACTTGGAGCCGCAGAAGAGACCTCTCATCACAGAAGCAAAATTGTGTTGGGCAATGAGGATTATTTAAAAACGGGGGTTTGGCCCATTTTCATCTCAATTCGTCCATGGAAGCCGATTTTGGAGCACTTTTGGAGTGTCATCTTCGTCAACTATAATGTTGTAAGTGATTTCTTCACATTGTGAGTTAAATACATGATTTTTATATGGATTCAAGCATCAAAATTGGTAGAAATTAAGAGATTTTGAAAGAAACCTAGAAATTTGGTATTTTGGGATTTTTACCACGAAATTGGACATAAAATTTAAAATAAATTATATCTTTGAGTTCGTGTTGTTATGGGTAATGATTATCTTCGAATATTATCGAAATCCGGGCACGTGGTCCCGAGGCGTAACTTTATCGACTTTTCGAGTGGAGTTGAGAATTTACTTAAAAGGATTTATTACGAGTTTGGATTATATTTTTATTGGTTTGCATATTGTTTTGACTAGTTTTGGAGCGATGTACATCGGGTTAAGTTGTTAGAGAGGCTTTGGAGCCAGTTATGGAACTCCGAAGTGAGGTAAGTCTCCTGTCTAACTCTGTGAGGGGGAAACTACCCCTAGGTGATGTGTTTGATATGTGTTACTTGTTGTGGGGAATGCGTACGCACGAGGTGATGAAAGTCCGTACGTAGTTAGATTCATGTTATTGTACGGATAGACTTAGGTTCACACCATGCTAAACCTGTAGTATAGGGGTTGTCTTTACTCGTTTAATTCCTTTATTTTGCATTACAACTTGAGACTAGACTTGCATAGAATAATAGACTTTCCATTGTAGAGATTTGACGGGCTTCATGATTAGCTATGGAATAATTATAGTCTCCTTAAGAATTTATCTCGCATTGTGCGCCTTCATCAAAAAGCTTCCTTAAAGTTCATAACTCATACGTTTATTCGTGAGTGGGGTCAAGGACCCGTCAAAGCTTCCTATTCTAATGGGATCGGGCCGTCCGCCTTGGCGGTGTAATAGATACATCTATGGTTCATGTCGTTCGACCCTCGCCAATTCACACACTTTTATGGGATCAGGTCGTTCGCCTCAGTAGGATTATGTACGACACTCTCATGGGAGTGGGTCGTTCGCCTCGGCAATATAATAGATGTATCTATGGCTATGTACCATATTATGATGGGATCGGGCCGTACGCCTCAGCATTTCAATAAAATACTCCTATGGAATCGTGCGTAATATTCGTCAGGAGGCCAGTGCATCTGGGAATTTTCCTGATTTTAATTATCGCAATCTATCTGGTGAGATCCATTATATATATATTCTCCAATTGAGGAGGTAACTGTTAATTGAGAGTTTGAGTTGCGGTTGAGAGGAGGATTGCACCACATATTTACACTTGTTTATTTCATTTTTTACTGTG